GCTGCAGTCGTAGAAAGCTGTCTACAAACAATCGTGGGTTCTACATACCCTTGTCCCAAAATAATCTCCTAAAGGCTGCAGTAAGTTAAGACCTCATCTCCAACAAACTTTGTGGGTAGAGAAGCTCACTTTTCGTTAGCTTCATACTAGCGAGCAAGCATCATATTACCGTACTTGTCGGTATGTGAAAAGAATTCAAAGAAACTACTGTTTACATGGAAGGCATCTTTACACTAATCAGTCTACAGCATCAGAACAAAGAAAACTGTCTCTCTTGCTTGAAAGGATTCGTTGACACCGAGCGCAAGCGCACAGTCTTTCCCTTTCTTCGTGAAATTCGGTTGTATATAATATTGTAGTAAAATTATTTGCTGTGCTTCTAAAACCCAGAACTAAGATCTGGTTCTGTATTGACCTTTTTTTTTGTCGATCAGAATTAAATTGACCTAGCATACAGAAAAGCATCCCTAATTCCTATTCCAGTGAAGAGATTTCAAATGTTAGACTTTAGATTTTACCCTCCTTAAAAATGCAGGTCTCATCGCACAGTGATGTCTTTAAATTAGCTGTTGCCTCAATTTTATTGAAAAAAAACCTCAAAACTCATAAGTTTTTTTTGATAGATTCATTCGCTACGCTGCACAAAATTTAAAAATATTTTTTTTCTAGTTGATGTTTAATCAAAAAGATCATACAAAAACTATAATTCTGCTGCTTAGTGCGTCAATGTAATGTACTTTTGGAGGTTTTTTGAAGTATTTACATGGTTGATTATTAATTTTGAGGAGAGAAATACAAGGTGGGGCAAATGCGGTTGCAAAGTGAATTGAGCAACTCGTTGCATAAGCCAAATTCGTTTCTGCTTAGCTTGGGTATCTCTTCTGCGCAGAGTTTATCATTTAATTTGTCATAGCCTTCTATGTGTACTGTGAGAGAATGAGGGAGTATAGGAAATAGTTTTTGGGAATTCAGACGGCATATTCAGGAAAATGTCTGTTGAAGTGGCTATCTACATTTTGAATGCTCTTCTATACTCTATCGTCATACTATTGGATGTACTCGTTATGTGGGCAGCTGTGAAAACCCGGGAAACTTCACGAAACTTCATTTTCCACATCCTCTTTACCGCTATGATCTTGGACGTTGCTGTCCACTTCGTCACCATCTTCCACGATGTACCGAGTTATTTTCTGAATCAGGATTTCTCTAGTAAGTTTCCATCTTCCTCTTTCAAAGTTTTTGTATTTAATCTTAAAATACAATTCTTTAGCTGTGGGAACGACATATGTTTATGTGCTAATTCTTTGCTTGCAATGGTTTGCACAACTGCTCTTCTTGCCATTATTATCCATTATTCATTTCCTTGCGATTTTCTCACCCGCGAAATTCCGAAAAGCTTCACATCGTCACTTCGCTTGTGCTAACGCTGTTGTTATCCTACTTGCATTGATACTGACAGGTAAGATAATCTAAAAAAGTAATTTATCGGCAGATGTCATTTAATTTCACGTATATTTGGATCATTACGGTATCTTTCATAATAGTGTGGCTTAAGCGCTCAAAGAACAAAGCCTATAGAAGATGGCTAATCACATGGAAATATGTGTAGGAGGAATAAAGGATGAGAGATGTTAATAAGATATGAAAAGTACAAAGAAATTCATAAAATAATGCAAACAGTAATGAGAATTGTGACAGAATAGTTAGGTTATGGATTTCCAAACATTCTAGTAGTCAATTTCTATTATGCTGGCTAGACCAAATAGAAACAAAAATTTGTTCTTATTTAAGCACCACATTTTACTAAATACTCTGGCTATACCTATCTTCTCCCTGGACACTTCTGGTATTTTGATTTTGCTAAACCGTACAGTTATATATATCAACATTTAAATGTAACATTACAGGTAGGTTATAACTACATTAAGTTATATTGAATAATACATGTTTTTGATAAATACCGCTCAAATTCAGATAATCTGCGTCGTCTTTGTGGTTGTAGCTGACACTCTAATTATTTGGAAAATTTGTAGTCTCCGTAAAAAACACAAGATCACTTTACCGAAACGTGATGGCACACAAAAAGTAAGCTACAATTTTGTTTGATAAAAGTCTAAACTTATTCATTTAGAAACACCAAGTAGTAAAAGAAGTTCGTCTTGCCCTGAACTTTTTGGTGCTGAGTGTCTGCTTCTTGATTATGACCATCTTCTACAATGTCAATTTTGGGTAAGTTGAGACCAAATGCCATAAGCACCGGGATTCCTTTGA